AATATGCAGTTTGAAACTTACAGGCGGCACTGCCGAGTAGGGGTTTGTGGTCCATGATTATCACAAATTTTCATTCATAAATGTATTGGTGGAGCTTCCCAACTCCAAATACGATTGTCAATCTTTCTTTCTCTATCTGGGTACATTTATGCTCTGCATTATCCAAAGTCCTGGATGAATATGCTATTGGGTTTTCCTCTCCATTGGGCCATCTTTAAGCTAAGACCACCCTGATGCCATAAGGGGAGACATCACATATCAATATCAGATCTTTCTTGGGATCATAGTGTGCCAACACCTATGAGGATGATTGCTGTTTCTTTACTTCACTGAAATCTAGGACTTGTTTATGCCACCATTTCCAAGGCTGACCCTTATATATTTTTTAAAATTTTATTTATAGAACTTACTTTTATTTATAGAATCCCTACAGTGTGGAAACTGACCCTTCGGCCCAACAAGTCCACACCGACCCTCGGAGCATCCCAACCAAACCCATCCCCCGACAAACCCATCTAATCTACACATCCCTGAACACTATGGGCAATTTAGCATGGCCAATCCACCTAGCCTGCACATCTTTGGACTGTGGGCGGAAACTGGAGCTCTCGGAAGAAACCCACGCAGATACGTGGAGAATGTGCAAACTCCGCACAGACAGTCGCCTGAGGGTGGAATTGAACCCGAGTCCCTGACGCTGTGAGGCAGCAGTGCTAACCGCTGAGCCATCGTTCCACCCCTTTTTAAAAATCTCTCCTGCCCCAACCTGTCCATCTTCCGACTTACCTATCCACTTCACCCTTCCTACTGACCATTTATTTATGATTGCTTGATGCAAGATGGAGGCCAGGTTATGTATGAACTTTCCATAATAATTTACCAGCCCAAGAAATAACCTAAGCTCCTGGACAGATATGAGCTGGGGCACCTTTATCTTCCGATGGGTGTAATTGAACAGGTTGACACCAAATGGCTACCTCATATATTGGTACAAACCCTTATGCGTATTAATTGTAGCATATGTCTGGGAATCCTCATCTAAACATGATTGTAAGTAAGCATGGCTCATGTCCAGCTTTTTGAAGGATAGCCCCCTGCCAGCTTTGCGGACAAATCCTCTATCTGAGGGATTAACTATGTATCCAGCTTTGAAAAGCAGCTTAGCGTTTGTTTAAAATCCCCACAAAGGGAAACCGATCTGTCAGGCTTCAAAATTGGTACAACCAGTGCTGCCCATTCCACAAATTGGACTGGTCTGATGATTCCTTTACTTTCCAGTCTTCTGATTTCTGCCTCTACTTTTGCCCATAAGGCAAATGACACTGGGCAAGCCTTACAGAATTGTGGACTTGCTTCCTGATCAACATGCAAGGTGGCCCTGGTTCCTCTGATAGTCCTTAGACCTTCTTGGAAAACTTCTGCGTATTTAATTAGGACTTTGCTCAGGCAGACCTTTCATAGAACATAGAACATAGAACATTACAGTGCAGTACAGGCCCTTCGGCCCTCAATGTTGCGCCGACCTGTGAAACCAATCTGAAGCCCATCTAACCTAAACTATTCCATTATCATCCATATGTTTATCCAATGACCATTTAAATGCCCTTAAAGTGGGCGAGTCTACTATTTTTGCAGGCAGGGCATTCCACGCCCTTACTACTCTCTGAGTAAAGAACCTACCTCTGACATCTGTCCTATATCTATCACCCCTCAATTTAAAGCTATGTCCCCTCGTGCTAGCCATCACCATCCGAGGAAAAAGGCTCTCACTGTCCACCCTATCTAATCCTCTGATCATCTTGTATGTCTCTATCAAGTCACCTCTTAACCTTCTTCTCTCTAACGAAAACAGCCTCAAAACCCTCAGCCTTTCCTCATAAGACTTTCCCTCCATACCAGGCAACATCCTGGTAAATCTCCTCTGCACCCTTTCCAATGCTTCCACATCCTTCCTATAATGCGGCGACCAGAACTGTACGCAATACTCCAAGTGCGGCCGCACCAGAGTTTTGTACAGCTGCAACATGACCTCATGGCTCCGAAACTCAATCCCTCTACCAATAAAACCTAACA